TCGCCAACAAGTAGAATCCGCTCTGATACCAATGTTACGATCCTGGCCAATTTCGAAGTCCACAATCATCAGAAAGTACAATGTTGTCCAATTGCAAAAAGAAATGAATGAACGTGAGCCCAATGCCGTCCAATTGCAAAAGAAATGAAAGAACTTGAGAGGAAAGAGAGGGAAAGAAGAAGAAGAAGAAGAAGTAAGAAAGAAGAAAGAGATGATGTACTCCAGCATAGACCAAAGACAAAGCTCTTCTTCTCCGCTCAACAACCTCCTCCTCTTTATCTCCTCCTCTCTTATTCAAACAATGAATAAACAATAATAATGTTGAACAGCTGAAGCAGAATCAATGTCCGAATCCCACTTCTACTGCAGGCACAAGATGAGGTCCACCATAGCCATGGCAGCCCTTCTTTTTCCTCCACATACAGGCCGAGGCTATGGCGGACAACCGAGGCTTCAGCCTCCGGTACCAAAGACAACCCCCAAGCAGCTACACCGCTGCCCACTTCAAGGTCATCACCCAGCAGCTATGCCGCTGCCCACTCAACCGCCATGCCTGACTCTGTCCGAGCTTCCTTGATGCGGCACTACCCCCACTGGKGCCTTCCTGATGCAGCGCCTAGCAAGGAGATGAAGATGGTGTCTACCATAGCCAGTAAGTACCTCGCCACTCTCCTCCTTGGTCCCCTTCTCCCTCCTCCTCCTACCGGTAGAGCTCCACCATAGCCAAGGTGGAAGCTCCCGATTTCTTCCCCCCAGCAGCGCTGTAGTGCCCAGCGCTACACCACCTAGCGCACCAGCAGCGTGACGCCCAACTCGCACACTGAAGAATGAGGCCGGGCTCCTTGCCCTGCCTCTTGATATGGCGGCCTACTTGCCTCCTGGGCGGTGACTTCCAGGCCGCTCGGCCTCTCCAAGCAACCGCTACCTCCTCCGTTTCGGAGGGAAACATCATTGCAGACCCTGATATTACCCGTACAGGCTCTAGACTCAGACTGGTTGGACTGGTACCGGCCTAGACCTATCCTACCGCTACTGGGCTCTAAAAATGCCAACTTTGTCTTTTTCTGCTCGACCTCCAGTACCCCCTCACGCCAACTGCAGTGGGGTGCAGTATCGGCCTACCGGCCTACTTGAGTGTTTTTCCGCTACCCCAAGGCCTCAGGGCCACTAGCTTCGCCACTTGAGTGTTTTTCCCTGCCACAACCCTCAATGCCACGGCGACAGGTAAGTACCGGCCCTACGGGCCTACCAAACAAGCAAGTACCCTTGCGGGTCACACACACACTCATACCGACAAGCACTCAATCAGGCACGCAGGTCACAAGCACGCACACACAGACAGACTCAACAAGGCATCCATTCCATCGGAGAACTTCATAAATCAGCAGTGTTCTCAATCTGTGTTTTGACGGGTCATTACAAAGTGGAAGACTTGGATATAAGTCCTGCCCTGACTGGGACTGACACGACATCCCATCATACATCACACATGTGAGAAGAGGAGGAGGGACCGCACACAGAGAAGGAAGGTCCCTCCTTGTACACGCACATGGGAAGATACCACACATGTGAGATGGGGGGAGAGGTGAGACGAAGATGGAGGTGAGGGAGAAGACCAAGATTGCAATGGCGATGTCCAAAAATAGTCCCTTGCCGATGTCCAATCAATGTCTGTCTCAAAAAGTCGAACCAGATCCTCGGTGCAATGCCCACTATAACCCCTGCCTTTATCCTTTGCCTGTAACCTCTCTCTCTCTCTCTCTCTCTCTCTCTCTCTCTCTCTCTCTCTCTCTCTCTCTCTCTCTCTCTC